TGACCCCCCCGGCCCCGCAGCCATCCTGGGCATGTACACGCTGATGAGCAACAAGCAGTACTACGACGCGATCTGCAGCGGGACCATCTCCAACACGGAGGGCATCAACAGTGAGTGCCGCGGGGACGCGGGGCTGTTTGGGGGGGATTTGGGGACCAGAACCCCCCCCCGGGATTCACCGCGGTGACCCCACGCATGCGTGCAAACATGCGTGTCCCCGCGTGTCCCCGTGCGCACGCGTGTGCCCCAGGCGTGGTGAAGCCCGACACATACAAGCCGGTGCCGGATGAGCCCCCGAATCCCACCAACGTGGAGGAGACGCTGCGGCAGATCCAGGCCAACGACGGGGCTCTGGAGGACGTCAACATTAACAACATCAAGGCGACGGACCCGGGGGTCCCCAGGGTGCTGCTCCCTGCCCCGGGGTGTCCCCGGGGTGCTAGTCCTGACCCTGGGGTGTCCCCACGGGGCTGGTCCCTATCCCGGGGTGTCTCCAGGGCACCCCAAGGTGCTGGTCCCCGTGCTAGGGAGCATCACAGTGGGGCTGGTCCCTGCCCCAGAGTGTCCCCAGGGTGTCCCTGGGTGCTGCCAGGGTGACAGGTCCCATCCTGAGGTGTCCCCGTGGGCTTGGTCACCCTGTCCCAGGGTGCTGCTCGCTGTCCCGGGGTGTCCCTCTGGGGTTGGGTCCCTGTCGTGGGGCGTCCCTGGGGTGTTTGTCCCCATCCTGGGGTGGTCCCAGGGACTGTAGCGTGCTGGTCCCCATCCGGGGGCATCCGTGTCCTGTTGGTGACATCCCACATCCCTTGGGTGACATACAGAACCCTCTCGGGGACGCTCCCGTACCCTTGGTGACATCTACACCCCCTCGATGCCGCTTACATCCCCTCGGCGACACCCACGTCATCCCCTGGGGGATGTCCCCGCGCCCTTGGTGACACCACGTCCCCTTGCCGCAGGACATTCCCATCGCCACGCTGAAGGCCATCTGCGAGGCCATGAAAACCAACACCCACGTCAAGAAGCTCAGCCTGGTAGCCACCCGCAGCAACGACCCCGTCGCCAGCGTGAGTACCGGCC